GGCGGCGGCGGCAGCGGCGGCGGTTGTGGGGGCTGTGGGCGGCGGCGGGGGCGGCGGCGGTCTTCTTCTCATTTTCTTGTTATTATTGTTATTCTTGTTGTTCTTCCTATGATTATTGTTACTGTTATTGTTGTTGTTGCTGCTGAGGTTTTCACTGTCTGAGATGCTTTTATATTGAAATGTGTTTGTTGTTTGTCTGTTGGTGCGTTGGTATGTTATTGTTGTTTTTGCATGTGTTCTATTGGTCCTCATGCGTGTATGATCTACTGCTTTGTCAGCTGATTTGTTGTTGCTTTTTCATGGCTTTTACAAATTTTCTTTCTTGTACTAGCTGGTGTCCAGTAGTTGCTCATTGATTTCTATTGGTTTTCTACGGTTTTGTTGAGTTTTAGATGGTCTTTATTGCTTTCTTGTTGAACTTCTGTGGGTGATCTAGTGTTTGTTGTTGGGTACTGTTGGTTGTTGTTGTTGTTGGTACAAACTAAGACAGTGACCCCGTCCAAGCCCCCTCCCCCGTTGTTGTTGTTGTTGTTGTCGTTGTTGTTGTTGTTGTTGCTGTTGTTGTTGTTGCTGTTGTTGTCGTTGTTGTTGTTGTTGTTGTTTATGTGGTGTTGGAGTTCTATGTATAGGCTGTCATTGGTTTCTCTTTGTTCCTTATTGGACTTGTGTTTTGTTTAGTCTTTGGTTTTCATTGGGAAGTAATCTACTATCATCAACTATTCTACGTTCAGCCCTCCCCAGTTGAGGTAAAGCCAGTTTCCGGACTGGGACAGCCCTGATAGTTAACCCCCTGAGGGGAGACGGGCGTTTCACATCAGTATGACGTGACTACTCACCTGATCTTCGCAATAACTTTTTGCCACGATGCTATACAGTGTAGGCAACATAAAGCGTTGATCCCCAAAATGCTTCATAGTAAGAAAACACTAAGAAAATCTGTGCTCACTGGAATCTGCTGGTACTGCAAGCTAGGAAAACAAGTGCTCTTTAAGTTTACAAATACTGGATCATTACTTCAAGGCAAGCAAGCATGAGTCGTGGAATGTACTAGAGAGCAGAAGAGCGAGCGTTTGTGTCGAATCTGCTTCTTTGATACCTGTCCTGCATTGCTGCTGCCATCTTTGGATCTGAGAACGCCTGCAAACAGGATATCTGAACAAGTTCTTGAATTCTGATGAAGCACTTGCCTGCATGAGCTCGGGGTCACTCATGATGCCACTCAGCATGCTGGGATCGATACCTGGCGAACACTTATGCTTCGTATTCATTCCGCAGTGCATTCTATGTTACGTCTATGTAACGTCAATCATTTGGTGCTCTGGCCTGGCATGCCACCTGGCATGCCACCTGGCATTCCACCGGGCATGCCTCCTGGCATGCCTCCCGGCATGCCTCTCGACAAACTGGACAACAGCACTTCCACAGCAAAAACCTATATTCACACCTGGAAAGCCCCCTGGAAAACCTCCAGGGAATCCTCCGTAGCCTGGCCGCGGAGTTGCATGCAACGGCAGGATGCATGCAAGCAACCAAGCGGGCAATACTCGGAATAAACAGAATCGCATGTCAAGGTTCACACGCCTGGTCCAGGGGTTGACTGCTTCTTTGCCTCTTCGTAAGCTCTCTGCGCCTGAGCCATGAGACTTGGAAACTAATTGTCACGTGGAGCCATTGATGACCAATGTGGTGCCTCTTCTTTTCTTCGCCTCTTTTCCTACAGCTTGCTGATGTAGTGGGGACCGATTGAAGCATCTTGTATCTATGGATTTCTGTCGCAACCAGCCAACTCTGCAAGTCTTGCAAAGCGCCAGCACACCTTCTCCTTCTGCTTCTCAGCTCGGAGCCTCCAATTGGCCGCGTCATACTTGCGAGTTGCAGTCACGGGTAATTGTCTTTCTTTTCAGCTGCCGACGGTGGGGCCACAACCTCTCTCCAACATAAACTCGCCAAAAATTGCCCCACCGAAAGGCGGTGTGTGTGTGTGTATGATTCGTGTGCGCGTGTGTGTCAACCTGTGTAAGCAAGAGCTATGCCCTGGTAGGAAGATTGCAGGAAGAGTCCACTGCCAACAGAGCCGCTCTGGAGTTGGGAGGATATCCTGGCTGATCAATCCTGTAAGTTCACCACTGTGTGGCAGATTAGAAAAGCCGCCACTGTGTGGCAAGATTCAACAGCCTGAATTGCTCTACCATTTTTCCAGCAGATTTCATGTTTGATGGCATACGGAGACATGTTTGTGAGCATGAGTGATTGCGACAGACATGTCATAGCCGTGCCAGCCTTGTATAATATATGATGCCGGTTTGGGGTTTTACTTGGAATGGAGATCTGCCCAAGTGAGTACTTGTTTCCAGCAAATCTTCGAAAACGTGCGTGACTGCGTTTCAAACCTCAGCGAAGCTTGTGGTCAGCCTTGTGCAGTAGCCATGCCAAATTTGCGCATGGCGCTCTCAGAGATACGACGAATCAAAGAATCTGAGCTACGACAAGCTCAGCGGGAAACACACAACGTATTGCTTCATGGAGATCATGCAGGCTCAACAGGTGTTCTCCCTTTTCTGTCGGAGAAGTCTGAGCGCCGATCCATGTTATGACACATGCAGCTCTGGTGAAAGTCCAGGGGAGTGTGAGGACTCTGTGCGTGGTGCCTTGCACAACTTGACCAATGCCTTTGAGTTTCAGACAATGCGGATCCGTTTTTGACAGCTGCATCAGCCGTCACAGTTCTGACAAACTTTGAAGCCAAGTGTCATCTTTATTCTGCGGAATAAGCTGTGCGGGATCACCATCGCTTTGCTGCGCGATGGTCTCACAAAGCGGTCGCAGCGAATGCAGATATCAGGACTGATCACCCTGATGTACCTAAAGAGATGGCGATTATTTCATGCCGCGCGCTGCTTCCCCCAATGATCTGTCCGTGAGCTACATGTGTGGCAGCTGATCCGCAAAAACACGGACTTCCAAGTTGAGCCAGATTTTGATGAATGCCTGTTCGCATCTTTCAACGCTCGTTCATTAGCACCAAGCCAGAGAGTTTCTCATGCAAACTTCTTCAACCCTACCTGCAGGCTTGCAGAAGACAGTGCTTGTTTAGAAAGCCTGCGTCCAGTCGAGAGTCCAAAGCATCAACACTTGCTTTTTTAGAGTATGTGAGGAGTGGAGCGGAGGGGCGTCGTGGCTCACCTAGAACAGAAAGCTCAACGAGAAATAGGTAAACGAATATAAACAGGACCGAGTATAAGCTTGAAGGATTTGCTTTCGCAAGAGGCAAAGGTTGTGCCTCTCTTTGTTCTTGCGTTCTGCAATCTTCTTGTACTTGGCGTCCACAAGCTTTTGCAACTGAAGGCACGTCGTAATGGGAACCAAGACATGAATTGACACTAGTGGGGCCAACCTCCACGGTGTCATCGTCGAAGTCAAGCTTTTGGCTTTCCGCAAGATCTTGATGTGCCTTCACGCGGGTGCGTGCGCTGATGTTGGTGTGATGGTGTTGCCATGATCGTGTTACGCGCAAGCTGCCTCTTCCCAGTGGCCGAGGAGCCTGTGCGCCTGCTGGCCGAATCGGCCGAAGGAGCTGCAACTTGTTTTCGAAGTTTGGCTCTAAAGAGCCTCTAAATTCTATAGATCCTTTGTAAGCCCTGGCCTTCCCCCTCACGCGGTAAGCTTTGCCACTGTCCGGATTGATCTTGAGCGCAGCATTGCAGTCCGCCTTATCCAAACCAAAAACCCGAGAACATTAGCTGTGCTGCTCCTGCCAACTCCTGCTGCCAGGCATTGAATCATTAAATTCTAGACAGAGGTGCGCGGGGGCAGAGACCTCACAGCATGTTGGAAAGCAACCTTCCTGGGAATCATGACTGCTGCCGGGTTTAGGCATGCGTCGGGATAATCAATAACAAACCTGCCCGGGCCGATCAAAACGCTTTGCTATGGACGGTTATCCCCCGACGGCCCTGCGTTGGCCCCAGGAGCCGTTTCAGTTCAACCCTTTACAATGATCTTACAATGACACTATAACTAATCCCAAATAAAGTCAGTCGTGGATCTCGACGAGTAAAACCATCCCCTTATCCCCGAATGGGGACTCCTCTTGCACAATCAAATCTCCTCTTGAGAACATTCCCAAGAATTTGTTCCTAACAACATCGTTTTCATTAGGCCTATTACGTTACTACACACACATGGAAAGAGGCAGGCAGTCGTGGCTTTGCAATTTCTTCCGAAGCACTCGATCCACGCAGAATGACGTAGATCAGAGTTGCGAGATGTTGCGAGCTCCAGTGAGACAAGCGCTAGGCTTCGCTTTGCTGATGTTCGCTGCCTGCTTAAGGAAAGGGCGCTTCGCGCGCTCCTGATGCAAGCGGATATGCTAGGTATATGTTCTCTTGAACAATCCCCTGAGCATGCACACCGGCCATCTACTCTGAGATGATGCATGGGATCTATGTTGACAAACTCAGACATCCATCACGACGCAGGCAGCGAGAGCTGCTAGCTCTACATTGCAGGAAATCGGAAAAGCCTTCTAGACTTCTGGGTTTGGATGGCAGATCGTTTGTCTGCAGTGTCTGTCTACGTTATGGTCAAAAGGAGAAAAAGAACTGATTTGCAGCATTCCCCTCCAAAGATCGAACTCATAGGCTCATAGGTATGACTACACACATGCTGCACTCTGTCAGCATTGCAGCGCCCAGGGTGGGGTGGATCCACTTTTCCCGCAATCCAGTCGCCCGATGATGGCTTTAAGCATCCACGACACCTTGAATCAACAGCAGGATTGGCATTCACCAGTGAATCTATCTTTCTCGGATTACTAAATGAACCAAACCTAACCAGCCAAGGTCTGGAATGGTGTTCCAAGAAGCTTGAAAGGGATCGAAGGATAGTCAGGAGAAAGCACGTCAGAGCCAGCAGAATGAGTGTGGGCTGCAGCCAAGTCTTCGGTGTCACTGTGTCTGTTTCACAGCTGGATAAGTCTGCCTGCAAGCTTGAGACTAGCTTGAGCTTGCTGAGCAAGCGCATGAATATCAACAGGCATTTGTCTTTTGGGCGACTCTCTCCGAACTCCGAACCTCGTGGGGAAGAATTTCGCTGTCCCGTTGCCCGGGTGTCGATGGAATTCGACCCGCGCCAGGAGTGATCCAAATGATTCGGCCTGAACGATCCGGATGCGGGAAAGCAAACGAGCTTGGGCAATCAGTTCGCGAGCCCGTTATCAACAAGTACTTCTATTATTTTCTTCTGCATCCCGCGCCTTGCTCTTCCGCTACTTGACCCAAGTGATCTCGTCGATCGGTGCATAGCCAGGTGTCATCAAAACCTCACCGTCGGAGGCTGTCAGGTCTAAGACCGAATCCCTGAATTCCTGACTGCCTGTCAGGTGACTTTGCCAGCCTGATTTGGCTGGTCCCCACATGTTCGCAGCTGAAAACCTCAGAACGAAGGGCACGAGCAGCTCACTGCAGCCTGTTTTTGTCTTGCAATGATCTTTGCTTAAGATCAATTGACTCAAAGCAGTCTCACAATAGCGGCCTTGCGAATTCTTTCTAGTGCAGGCCGCTCCATGATCACGCTAAGGTGGAGTCGCTCTAGCTCTGCCATGCTCCGCTGCTCGAACCCAGGCTTCTAAGCTTAAATGCGCGGCCTAGAGAATACCTGACAGCTGGCACCTGAATTAAAAGCCAGTTAGCCAACATGATTTTTGCTTCAAGCACTTGGATTGATCACTTCGTTGAGCTGGTAAGGTTAGTTGTCTTGCTGAGAATAATCTGGTAATCTCTGACACTCTCAATCTGAAGCCTTGCAGTGAATCCTGTCGGATCTGGCTTTGCCCAGTCCTGTTTGCTGATTGAGGTGACTGTAAAAGTGCTTCAGAGACCAAACCGGACATGCGACTCTTTCCATCTCCTCTGGCTACATAGCTAGTTGCAGCGAACTGGCGGGGGTTGTGCTATTCCAGGTTGGCAGGCCAACACTTCTTGAAATTTCATAATGATGGAACGTACACGGCTATGAGCATCACAATGCAAGATCATGTATGCTCCTCCGGGTTCTGTATTATGGCAAGGCAAGGCTCAATTTGGCAATCACGTCCGGCTTGGCCCCAGGGTGTCCCAACGCCCGTCCGAAATTCATGGACCCAACGCTGTATCCCTGGGCTGTTCTGAGTTTGCAACACTAAGATTGCGCAACCGTGTGCTCAGCGTACTCTGCCATACGAGACCACAGCTGATGTCTGAGGTTCGGGCTGATTTGAAAAGCCTCTCGCCAATTTGGCGGTCGCCTGGTGCAGATGCCTGGAGCTGGAAAAGGTCGCGGGCGTTCCTGACGAGTACAAGGCCCGTGACTCTTCATTTACACCTGACTTACTTTCAGCTTTGCCCTCGTGCTTTCCCCAGTTGTCCGTCTGTGGTGGACTGTCCCCGTTGTTTTTGTGTTACCGGCGTGCGTGTGCGCAAGAATCTCTTTATTCTCATCCACTTGAAGAACGGTTGGCATTTTGCTGTGCCTTTGCCGTTCTGGTTGGACTATATGGCAATCCCGGCATGCAAGGTGCCTTCAATGCTTTCTGTATGCAATTGCAGCTGTCATGCAGCATTCACAGCTGACCAAATCAAGGTGAAAGCAAAGGGGATGGGGGATTGCATGGTTTCCTGATCGGCCAGGACAATTGCAGGGCCAAATGGAATCAGGGCATCGAACGTGTCATTTGAATCTCCTCTCTAGCCAAAGTAGACTGACATGATGCCATGTACTCCGTTGCAATGCACGTTGCTGAAACCAAATTTAGCTGTCGGTAGACCTGCTTTGTAATCGCAGATACAGTTGCGTTGGCCTGTACTGTGGGTTCCTGATGGAAGCATACACTGCTTCCAACTGGTAAATTTGTGCTTCGGTCTTGTTCAAGGAAATGTGTTAAACGGTCTTCCACCGGCCTACTGATTCACAGAAGCAGGCAAGAGACTGAACCCGCATCTCAAAGATTGAGTTCTGTCTTTTCCTGATGCCGAGCCACTGCAGGCATTCTACGTCATCTGGATCAGCAGGCGTGCTGGACTGCACTGTGACTCTGATGCCATTCTTCCCCTCATCCCAGAACTCGAAGCCAATGTACCTCCGCACACACCCAAAGCAGCTGACTGCAACTTGCAATGCCTTCAGCTTAAAGCTGCATGACTACAGAAACCAAGCTTGTCTAAGCAAGGAGACGTGTGAGCTTGAAGGTCCTCAACCCACAATCCACATTTAGTCTCCCTTCTTCGTTGCGCAGCCATGGCTCAGAAAGTACACTCCGAAGTATATGCACTCAGACTCACACACTCAGGGGCACGATAGAGTACAAATGTTGAGCATTCCCCATAGTGCACGGCTCACAGCCCACTCCGGCAGGAGCATCAGCGAGTGCCTGCAACATTTGGCGCAGCTATGCTTCTCATGACAGCGTTGTACAGTAAGCTGAGTTACAAAATCAAAATAATCAAAGACAAAACCACATATGCACCCACATATGCATCGGCCATTTAAGCGATGCAATCTAAATGGGTCTCAGGGACACTTCAAAAACCGATGCAAGGATTCGTCGCAGCTTCGAATCCTTGAGCGGGCAGAATTCATCCTTGTGCTTCTCATACCATGCGGCCGCCGTTTTTCTCGAATATTCCCGGCCCAAGACTTGTTTCAGGTGCCTTCGCAGCTTAATAGTCTCTGGCAGAACTGGAAAATCGAAGCCATAAACTTCGAGCAACAGCGGCTGGGTGGTCAGATCTGCCGGAGGTTTGTGATGGGCAAAGATCACCTCTGATCCTAGTCGCACGTAGGCGCCGATTCGTGATCTGGTGGCAATCTCGCCATATACCTTGGTTGTCAAAGACCAATGCACAATTGGCTGCATATGCTTTGGTCACTGGTCTGTCTTCTTGTAAGGGTTTTGCGCCTCCTTCTGAGAGAGTTTCACGCAAATCGTTGCCACGACTCCGCGGCCTCCACTAGGCAGCTTGGAGTAGTGTGGCTTGCAGTCTGCGCCCTCTGCAAACTCCACGCTCCTGCGGGGTGACTTAGACTCAGCTGCCGCAGAATGCCACACTGGCAAATCATCACAAATGCAGACCCTCCCTCCTCACCACTCTGGGAACGTGCTGGTGGACTCCGCGAAGCAAGGCCGCAGCAATGCTGAAGGAGTGCTTCCAGGCTTCGCTGCCAAGGGCACCCACCGACCTCAGGTGCTAAGCAAAGCTCCTACGAATGCTGCCCCTCATGCTTGCGCATACTTGCTTGCTGCTGCAGATTGCTGCAACATGTCCTTCTGCAGAGCAGCCGAGCAGAAGTTGCCCCAGCTTCATTGAAGCGCAGCAGCGCCTCCTCGAGCTGCTGCTTGGATACCATATGCGAGCCTCCATCGTAGTTCCTTGTTGTGGGCAGCACTACTGCAGCACTCTAACTTGTGTTTTCATAGTGGCTTCAAGCGCTTCAAGTCTGCACAAGCTTGTGCTTTTCAAAATGTGCTGGCGCCCTCTTTTGCCTTGTAAGCGGCGGGGAAACCTGACAGTCACTTGTTCAAACCTTGTCAACATTGCAAGACGATTCTAAGCGACCCTCATCAAGAAACGTTGGCAAATAGAATCAAATTGCATGCAGCAACACCTCGTCACAGAACCGCTTAAAGCACAAAGCGCAGCGTGCTGTGGATGTATGTGGATGCGGGCGAGGCTCTGCGCACCCTTGTCCAAGCTTGGGCTGCAAAGGAACGGGGCACACTGACCCATGGTGAGCCACGGCGCGCGTGCCGGTCTCTTGAGCCAAATATGCACACCGTGATACACGAGTGCTGCGTGAGTGATGCATCGCTCTTATGCAAGAAGCTGTCGAGAAAGACTGAGATTCAGACTATACACGCGCATGGTCTCTTGAGCTTCAAAAGTAACTCAGCTCTTTTGGCATACCTTAGAAGCTGGCAGTAAAGGTTCCAATGTAGAGTGCCTCTTGCATCTTTCATCCATAAGGGCACATGGCCTTGCAGTCTGGGCGCATCATAGCTGAAACATTCCCGATTTTGAAGGCCTGCACTGGATGCAGCTCACAACGCAACACATCCTGCTGTTCACATTCACATCCTCCGTCAGCTTCTCCAGCGCACCATTCAAGTTGCCGTCCTCTAGCGCATCTGCCGCTGCCTTTCTGAGAGCTAGATTCAATTGCTTCCTCGGCATAATCTGAAGAACTCCCCTGTGCCTGCTTGAGGTTACCCTGTTGGTCAAGCTGCTCATCAGTGAGATCAATCTCACCTGACCTCGCTGCAGCACATGCACACATACGCGCAGGAACTATCTTCCGTTTGACTGAGACACGCTGGGGCCCAGACGGTCCTGGAGCAGGATACGGTTCCGGATCCTGAGGCATCATCCAGCTCAGCCAAACCGCAGCTTAACGACCCCCTGCCAAATCCAAAGAGGTGTGATGAGTCTGCCAGCCGACTTTGGCGCTGCATACGGTCTTTGCTAGATTCATGTTCTCATGACGTCAATTATGTTTTGGAATCGACTTGTCTGCTCTTGTAATCAGTAGCAGCAGCAGCAGCAGCCTTCTCAACGACCTTTAGCTGTGTCCGAGCCCAGGCTTGCGGCACGGAGGGAGAGGGAAACTAGGAGAGTGCGAGAACATGCGAGAACTTTGTAAGGGGTTGTTGCAGTCCTCATCAAGCCTTTCCGGGTCGGGGTCGTCAGGCTCCTCAGGCTCCTCCTTCTGGGTGCAAGAAGTGAGCGCAGCCATTCACACGAGTTTCCGCTTTTGCAGTCCTCCTCTTCCTCGTCTTCCTGGGTTGCCTGCAGAAAATGGGTGATCATTTTAGGCTCAGGCCCTTTCAATACTGATCTGTATAGCTGGGAGTCGTGCAGGTTCTGGAGCCTCAGGGCATGCTCACTTTACTCATTGTCTACGCTTTCCTGTCAGGCAAGAGGCCTTTGGCTCTTCTTTCTTTGGCGCCTTGGGCTTTGCTTCCGGGACCTGCCAAGCAGAACAACTCTCCAGCACTCTAGTAAACCTAGTTGTCCCAACACAGGGTTATTCCTCATTCTCTGCTATCGAATTCCAAGCTTGGTTTTTTGTGATGGTTGTCTCTTCACATAACTTTACCAACGAGAATGTGGCTTCCACCCTTTGACATACCTGGTTGCTCCACATGTTTGGATCATGCTGTAGACCTTGACAACCCCCTTTTCTCACGCAAATCATTCACAGACTTCTCTGCTCTTTCTTTCAGTGCACTGGGCCCAGTTCACGCATCCCCCTTCGGAGATGCTTCCTTGCATGTTCTCGGAGTTGCATCAGAGGCTCTGCAATAATTACGTCTGCACCAATGGTTGTCCATGCTTTTGTCGAGGGCATGCCACCCACGACTCAACATGCCCAACTGCAAGAAAGTGCCCAAGTAGGTTGGATTTCTGTCAGTCACCGCACATTGCGCTCAGGCCGCACAAATCCAGCCTTCGCATCCCAGCTCAGAAGAAAATCCTGAAGGTCACGTCCAGGCGCGTAGAGGCTAATGAGCTTCAAGAAGTTCACTCCTCTGGCCTTGAAGAAAGCAAGCCTGGGCTCGTATATCAGAGATGGATCCTGGCGTTTGGCTTTGTGCATTGCGTGGACCAGTTTAGTCAGGGCTGAGCGAGCCTCCTTCAACTTTGCTACCAAGGCCTCAAGGGCCTGGACCTGCTCATCGCTTGAGGGGAGTGATGACCTGTTTTGACCTATGACCTGGTTGTTGCGCTGCCCCTGCTGAACTCTATAAAGTTGGCTACTGCTCAAGATGCTTAATTAGATCTTGATCAAGGTTTGGCTCTGCAGCGTTGATTTTGACCTCTGTTCTGGTGCTTGTGATGTTCTGTGCAGAGTGAATAGGTCAGCAAAGGACAAGCCGCAAGCCATCCACTGATCGGACAGTGAGAGATGTTCTAGTGCGGCAGTGTTGACCGCTTGGCAAAGACTGCACGCAACAGTGCAAGGAATTATGAGCCGCGGGCATCAGCGGCATCAGCCTTACTGCACGCAAATGAGCAGCATAATGCAATCTGTGCCTCCTGCCCGTCGCCTGTGATTGAACCTGCCTCTGAGGCAAGTGCCATGATCTCAACAGCGCGCAGCCCTAGCTCTCTGCCCAAATCAGCTTCAAAATTCCCGTTAAATTTTCGGGCTACTAGCTTCCATGGAGCCGAGAATGCGGTAATGGACAACTCCAAGATCAAACTTCAGTTGCCCTGCTGAGTATGAAATGTGGCTATTTTGTTGGCAGCTCTTCTGCGGTGGCACGCTTCGGCCAGCGGGCCTGAGAATCAAACATGAACCAGCAGCCTGGCCATAAATTGAGGAAGGCATTCGGTCTCGCACAGGACGCCGAAACCATCTGCTCGCCAAAAACTGCACCTCATAGGTGCACAAGCAAGCGGGGGTCTAAAGTCTGATGTTCAAAGGAGTGATGCACTACTGCTTTTGCGCCGTGATGCTACTGCAGTCTGCCCCACGGCAGACAGACTTGCAACATTCCGCATGGGCAGAAGCTTCATTGAAAGCATTGCGTGATGGTGTTGCTTTGCATCATCCAACATAGTGCTGGCACTCATTTGCAAAGAAGCCCTAGCTTCTGCAGCTCAGCTTGCTTTGAGCCTGCCGCGCTGCTTGAGTTTATCCTGTCTGTCGAAAAGGCATGGCCGTGGCCCACTTGGAGTCGCTTCTCTTCAACTGTTGGCTCTCAGGCTCTGCTCTTCTGGTTCAGATGCGAAGGATGAGTCAATCTGCCACACAATGCAGGTTAGCTCATCCTTTGCATATTCCTGGCTTCCATCCTCCTTCCGAGGCCAGACAACCACTAGAATCACTAGGATTGCTGTGCATGGTAGGCAGGACATACAGGACAGAAACGTCTGGCGAAAAATTTACAGCACGCATGTTACTTCCGAAATTCGTTTCGAGTTTCCATCTTAAAAACTAAAAACACATGTGCACAAACAGATTCTGGAACCTCACCTCTAATATCAGCAAATCACACATTCTTGGAAACCAAAGCAGCGAGCTCTTCATGCAATAGGCGAACGCATGTGTTTTGCAACCATCAAGTTTGAATAGGCTTGAAGGGCCCTTGAGACAAAGACTATGTGCTTTAGACAGCTTCATGCTGGCTGCGCTGGAGATGCCATGCAAAGATGCTTGCGCTCTCCGGGTTGCGGACTCGTCGTTCGCGAGCAGCAAGTTTGGCAGAGAGGTCCTGCAAAAGTGCCTGGCCGTAGCAGTGGCTCCAGGCATATAAGCTGCGTCTGGGTAGAGCAAGTTTCTGATCTTGGCAGCACAAGCCATATCGAAGGCATTCGTCTGTGTGGGGCAGTGTTGCAAAAGTCATGCGCGTGACATGTTTTGTCAGCTTGTGGCAAGCCACGTCGGCTGGTTCATGCTGACTCACCGAAACCCATCTCCACTACGAAGTGTGTCTACAGCATGCTTCTTGATGTTTGATATACTATTGCTGTGTTATAAACTACAAGCCAGCAACAGCAGTCACATTAGTGATGTGTGTCGGCGCGCTCAGGGAAGGGAATGGTTGGCAGCGCATATTCCGTGGCACGTCTTCAAGTTGAAACTTGCCTTCGCCAAACTGGCCACAGAAGTGCCAGTCTTCTAGCATCGCAGTAATCCTGTTGTTTCATGTGCTTGGCTGTGAACCTCACCGTCCATCTGGCCGCCTGTCGATGGATTAACGCTCCCAAGCCATCAAGCCTCTGGCATCATCACAAAGCCTCGAGTCAGTGCTCGTGGAGTGATACACGACCATCGTATGCCAACGACCCAGAACAAAGTCGTCCCGGGTGTCGCACATCACAACAACATTTCAAACGTTGAAGGAACACAAATACAAGCGGCTTCAGACACAAATTGTATTCTGCTTGTTAGATGTTGGATCTTGCCTTGGCTTCGTTCACGCTCTGAAGTGTAGGCATCTGAGGCCTACCAGCCAACAAGTTCCCTAAACTTCAAAACTAAAACCAGTGGAAAGAATGAATTACTAACTCAATGTTAGTTTCAGGGTTGGTGTCTGAAGCTCCAACCAGCGAGTAGTTTGATAGACCAGCACTAGCCGCTGCATTATCAAGGCTTTATATCCACACCCTACACCCTGCAAAGCCTTGAGGCCGCCCCACCCACCATATCCCACCATGGCATCTCGGGACAAAGACAGAGCAACGCTGAATGAGTCCTTTCTCGCCACACTTCGCCACACCTCTCTGCATATCCGGAGATATCCGGTCTACGGATTTCCAGGTGTTCAGCCTTCAATTCCTGATAGACCAGGCGCAATGTCTCTGCAGGTTCTGTTGGGTTGTGGACGGGTCCAGATCTGACAGGCCGACAGGCCGTAGTCGCACGGTTGCACACCCCAAAGTGTGAAAGAGGCACGCACGGATTGGCAAGGCTGTAGGCTGGAGCGAGGTGAACTCATAATCTGCTGTTTGCCCTACGAGTACCCTGTTTCCGACCCTAGCTCTGTGACTTTCCCTCGACTTCTTTGCGTATGCTTATCTGAGGGATTCGGGAGTACACAGTGGACTCAATTAGATTCTCCACCTCTCAAGTTACAAGCTAAGCGCATAGATGCTCGAACCTTGCAACTTACCCATGCTAACTCTCGTCCTTTCTTGCCAGCATGCTGTTGACCTTGAGAGCGTCCAGTATCAGTTTTCCACGTTCAGACATATCTGCCGCTTGTTTGGACTTGGGTGGTGACGGGACGCTCAAAACACATTCCGTGCAAACAAGTGTAACAAATCCCCAGTAGTGAGCGACGTGATCTAGAGAGGGTGGTGTTGCGAAGTGTATAGGGCTTCAAATTTGGTGAAAGGCGAGAGGATGGACAGCAACACAGGTCTAACAAGGCACCTTAGAAACAATCTCTCACTTCATCACGTCCTATACATTGTGCCTGTCTGGATCCGCTCTGAACGGCTTGTTTGGATCGAAATGTCCACTGATCGTCTGCATGTTCTTATTCTTGCCCGAAACACGTCTAAGCACAGCTTTTTCGAGGGCTTTCTCGTCCTGGAGATCTCGCAGTGTCAGTGAGTGCCACTGCGGGCTGCCGGTTCCCAGCATTAAGAACCTCGTGTGGAAGTCCACTGTTCGCGCTTACTGTTTGAAATGCTGCCACTTTAGAAGCGGTGCTTTGATTTTCCAGCCGCCCTCATGGAAGTCTTTAGACCTGCAGACACCCATATGGGTCTGTGTTCAATTATAACGCCACTAAATGGCACATTCAGCGAAGTTGCAACCATTGTGGACCAATCCCCCCTCAGTCTGTTTCAGAAAGGCTTGAACACGGATCTTGCATGTGGGAGTTTAGGACACAAAGCCTACAAAGCCCCTCCGCCATCATAAGAAGCCCAAAAACATGTAGAGCATGCAGGACTCTCTAGGTCCTCATCTTGCTTCATTTAATTTTGGTCTTTAACTTTGGTTGACTGCCAATATCTGACGGTTACTTGTCGTCCACACCTGTGCTTTGCGTCTTAGCGTTTCGCGTGTACTTTGCCGTCCAAGCTATCAAGATTTAGTGTGTACCCATCAACTTCGGGATGTGGCTGGACAAGTCAATAAGCTAGAATCCTAGCAAAAAGACAGCACAGGGCCACAACTCCAGCGCCACCAGCTGCATTGGGGAATGAACGAGCGCAATGAACTCCTATAGCAAAACCATAAACACAACGACCAAATGATGAAAAACCATACACTAC